GCAGGATATTCTCCCTCACCCTCTGTTTCTCTTATCTCTCTGTCCAACACACACACAAACACACACACACACACACAGGCATCCGCTGTGTCACACCACTTGTTGGACTGACATGTAATGAATAGAAGAATAATGGTCCCTTGCATGTGAATGAGCCCGTGCATACAGGTGTCTGAATATCAGTCTCTGTAAATGTGCCCGTGTGTGTGTGTGTGTGTGTGTGTGTGTGTGTGTGTATGTCAGTGAGATACTAAGTGGGTCTTTTGTGTGTCAGTGCAAGGTTTAAGGATGCACATCATACTGAATGACATGGACAGCAACACATAAGACAATCAGTCACACCAGCCTTATGCCTGATTGCTTCTCACTGCTTTGAAAGATGGTTGCTACACACACACACACACACACACACACATTACACACACAGTGGTGAAAATAAAATAAAGTACATTGACTCAAGCACTGTACTTAAGTAGAATTTTGAAGTATCTGTACTTTAATGTGTCAGTAATCACGATCCAATAATATGATATGCGTTAATGTTAAATTTGCTATTCTGCAGAATGAGTACTTTTACTTTTTGTAACTTACCTATATTTTGATGTGAGTACTTTTATACTGTTACTTAAGCAACATTGTGAATGCTGTAACAGATTATTTTTACACTGAGGTATTGCTACTTCTACTAAAGTAAACAATTAGAGTATTATTCTGTCATATGTGAGGCCTTTACCGCTGAGCCAAGCAGTGGTGTACTTGGATGCATGTGATGGAACACTGTCCTGCATAGAAATTATGGCCTTGCAGACTTCGTCCTGTACTACTGCTTTAAGAAAGTATCTTCTAGAAACTGGCAGTGGGTTTGGGAGCTGATTTTAAGTCCATCTTCAACCAGTAAAGGTCCAACCAGCTCATCCTTAATAACAGCAGCCCATACCAGTAACCCTCCTTTACTTTGCTGGCATCTGAGTTGAAGTGGTGCTGTGTGTCCATTAGTGATCCAGCCACAGGCCCATCCATCTAGTCCGTCAAGAGTCACTGTCATTTCATCTGTCCATAAAAGATATTTCTTGGCTCAATCTTCACATTTCAACTTGTGAGTCGTGGTGGTCGTATCTTCCTTACCTTATGTTTCTGAGCACACCTTCTGGACACTTCTGGACACTCCAGGAAGGATAATGGGTTCCTGGTAGATTCACATTTAATTATTCTCAAGTCTTTAGCAGCTAATTTGCATCTTTTCTTCTCCACACAATTTTGTGACCCTGTTGACTACTTGCAGCAAAATGTAGTCCAGTGATCACACCTCAGTAGCTCAGGTATTTCAACTGTCGCATCCGTCTGAAAGGCATTTGACAATTTTTGACTTTTCAGCATCAGTTGAATCTTTTTTGTGTGTGTTTATGTTTCTGAGCACACCTTCTGGACACTTCTGGACACTCCAGGAAGGATAATGGGTTCCTGGTAGATTCACATTTAATTATTCTCAAGTCTTTAGCAGCTAATTTGCATCTTTTCTTCTCCACACAATTTTGTGACCCTGTTGACTACTTGCAGCAAAATGTAGTCCAGTGATCACACCTCAGTAGCTCAGGTATTTCAACTGTCGCATCCGTCTGAAAGGCATTTGACAATTTTTGACTTTTCAGCATCAGTTGAATCTTTTTTTGGCCCATTTAGTCTGAGGTAAAGAAGCTGCCTAATAATTATGCACACCTTTATGTAGGGTGTTAATCACTTTAGACCACAGCTTCGTTCAATACATAAATACAAATCACCTGAGAATGCTTAAAACAATAAGCATTCAAGTTTATATAGCTAAAAATAATGATATGGTCAGAATACACACTTGCCTAACAATTGTGCATGCAGTGTGTGTGTGTGTATATATACAGTATATACTGTATATATCTCACTGAATGATGTTTTGCCAAACATTAAAACCTGCTGCTGAGGCTTGCCTACAGTGGCAAGTGTATGAACCACAGCATGGATAATTAACCCACAGTGAATGTAGTCGGTACTTCGCTGTGTGTGGATACATGTCACTCAGCTTAACATTGCAGACAGAAATACATGTGTGTGACTTCTGCAAACAACCACTGTGGCAATATATCTGGAGGAAATACTTGGACATTTCAACCACCTCTGACCATAAACAAGTCTCATGCAAAGCTATAAATAGAGAGCCATGATGATAAATCTATGACGAGGAACAGAAACTGCCAAGAGGGACTTCATTGCCACATAATTGAAGCTCAAGTTTGAGGACACAATGACAGCACCTGGGGTGATTTTTCAGAAATGATACATTCTAATCTTTAAATCTTGCTTGTTGAAATAGAAGGGACCGATATTCTGTAACTGTGCAATATGGTCATTCCTGGTGTGCAGGTTGCTTTACCGGTAGTATAGATTATTTCAAAAGGACATCTAAGCTAGGACACAGCTTTTTGAACCTCAGCTTGCCGCTAAATCACAAATCCAGTGATCTTTGACAATATGCATGTGTGAGCTAACCATGGATTAAACTGTTCCAGATGAGAGAAGAGGTAAGTGAAGATCCAAGCTTCTGGGAGAACAGTTATTAATGTATATACTGTAGCACTCTTTAAAATAAGTTCCAGCAATATTTGTTAGGAATACATTAAGAATACGTTTCTGCTCTCCTTGTATGTAAATATACACTTTTATCTTTATCACAAATGATGAGATTGTGCATTTTGTGTGTTTATGCAAACAGGAAAGAATCATTGAAGTTTTCTTGACTCTTTTATGTTTTATTGTTATGTAAATGCTTTGAACAATGAGATTCATGTCATCATAAAAAACTTTAGCTTTCCAAATTTTGCATTTTATGACAGTATAGACGTGTATTCAGGTGCACTATGAAAGGATGGATGTATTCTAGCATTGTGAAGTGGCTTCCTCCCCTCTCAACCATAACGACCATTGATTGGAGGAAGGGCTGACAAAGCAGAAGAGAGTCCCTGTCAGCAAGATAATTGTAGTGAGTGCGAATAAGCTCGATATCTGAGAGGAAAACTGGTGTTTGAATGAATACAATTATATCGCTGAGGTTTTTATGATAAATAAAATCATGATTTAAAGCTTCACAGCTCCCCTTATATCACTGAGTCTGCTGGCTTTACTTCTGAAGAGCTGCCAAATGTCTGCATCATGACTTTGTCTCACTTATCTCCTCCTGTCAGGCTTTTGTTTTTGATCAGTGCTCCTCTTTTTCCACTCTGCTTCTCCTCCCTTCAACCTCATTTCCCCCTAAATTCTTTTGATTGCCTACCCATACTGGTGTGTGTGTATATGTACCTGTGCAGTTTTGATGTAGTGTGGTGAACGGTGATATTGGATGTGCAATTTTTTTTTTATTTGTTCCTACATGATCAGTGTTTGGCAACTGCAGTCTGTTTAAAGAGGGGTTAAGTTTATGTAACTGAAACACTTGGATATGTTAATCTCTTAACTGAGGTAGTGAAAGAAGTATTCAGACCTTTTATTGTAGCGATAACATGGTATAGAAACACAAAATCCTATATTTAAAAACAAATGACTTGAGTAATAGTGCATACAGAGGTAAAAAGTAACTGAGTACATTGAGTCAAGTACTGTACTTAAGTACAATTTTGATATATTTATACTTTACTTGAGTGTTTCCATAATCTGCTACTTCATATTTTGACTTTACAACATTTTCGAGGCAAATATTGTGCTATTACTCCACTATATTTTTTATGATATATTTAGTTAATACTTATTTTTTTGGAAAATGCTCAAGATTCCCAGCAGTAAAGTACTTAAAATTATAATTAATATATTCAAAACAGCATCTACCCAATCTACAATAACCCAGTATACAACCAATACACAACAACAACCCAAAATATATCCAATATACAGCAATAAACTGATATACATAATAGTGCATCTATACCTTTATTTTTGGTACTTTAGATACCAAAAGTATTATATTTTGATGCTAATACTTTTGTACTTTTACGTAACTAACATTCTGAATGCAGGACTTTTACTTGTAACAGAGTAGTTTTACACTGTAGTATTGATACTTTTACAAACCAATATATAGAATCAGAGTACTTCTTCTACCACTGAGTACATACATGTAAATATTAGAATGAAAATATATTATGTACAGTACCAAAAGTAACAGTACCTGTCATGCAGAATGACCAATTTCAGAATAATACAGCATGCATTAAACGTCTGCTTTGACACAGCTGTGTGTTACTACTTTAATCTAAGTGCCGGCTAATTTACTCTATTATACATGCAATGTAAGTACAGCTATCTGATTAGTGAACATAAATGCTTAATTGTCAAGTTAATTGTATGTCTGCGAGAGGATGAGAGTGGCAGTCTTGGTGTTAAATTGCATCCACTACTTGTCCTGAATGTGGGTATTGGAAGCCATTGCTTGCAGCTGACTCACCCAGTGTGAGTGTAATTTTACACAAAGATGTACAGTATTGCCCTACTTTACCTGAGAGATGGGGGCACCGCCTGTGTAATACACATGGATGTTAAAACAACATCATAATGTGTTTGAACATGGACTTACAGAGGGTAGCATATTTTGAGACATTCAAAATGATCAAGATCCATACTGTAGATTCTCAGTTTTCAGGTTAAAAAAAGAAATTGCTCATTATTTTCCCTCACTAAAATTTTCTCTGTAAGCCAGGCGCTAAATATAAATAGACCACAGCTTAAGCTTTTTATCGCCTGGAACTCAGAAGACTGCTTAGTAACTCACTATAATCATAAAGTTGAAGCCAACAAAGTGACCAAACCAACATACCACTGAGGTCTCTTTCCTTGTAAAAAGAAAAAAGTCAAACCAATTATTATCCACAGTGATACATACAGCCCTCAGTACAAGTGTTTATAGCCTCAGTTTCAGTTTGGTTTTATTTCTTCTAGCTAGTGTTATGCCTCAGAATCACACAGACTGGTTTTACTGTGTCAGTCAGTGCTACGTACTGTATATTATCTAGTATTATAGAGATTAACAAAATGTTACAAAGGAATTAAAATGGTACACAACCTCATAAATGTTGACTCACATCTTCATGAAGTCATGTTTGACTGTTCTTGTGTGAGAGCAGTTTTATGATGTCAGGTTCACCATTTGCAGTTTTGGCTTTTGCAAACATAAAGAAGCTAATCTGCTTAGTGTACAGGAGCTCTGCACCAAACACATCCAGACCTTTTGAGAGAAACAGAGCAAATCTAGTAGACTGATGTTTGACAGTGACCTTTGACCCCACAGATGGCTGACAGTCGGCTGTCAGCTCAGAGGAGAGTGATGAGAAACCCTCCTGGAGACCGAGGCCAGCAGAAGACCAGCACCTACATTGTGCCCTGCTTCCTCTTTGTGGAGGTGAGTATTTGGACTTATTTTGTTCAAAAGGGAACTGCGGTCACCTTTCGTGCTCATTAGTCTTGACCCACGTCTGACAATTTGAGTCTGATCTGACCTGAACACTGAAAGCATATTCAAACCGAAGGCAATATTTGTCATATTTTGTCAAACCTAACTTGAGTTTAGAGTCAGAAATCTCAGGCTTTCATGTGATGATACTGTACGCAAGGTTGTGGGCCATGTGCTGCATAAATGCTGTATTGGTTGTGTATGAAATGGGGTAAAAGTCAAGAGCAAGCTGTGTGCTCTCCGGGTGTTTCAGACACCTCCAACCAGTTTAAGCACAGTGAGGGAGGAATGAAAGTGCATCTTTTGGTTGTAACGTTCTTTTTCTCTCATTTCCATTCTCTCAACATCTCTTTCTTTCATTATTCCAGGTTTCTTATGGCAGATTAACAACAATGAATGTAATTTGGGAAATTGCTTGAATTAGAAGGCTCTGTTTTCAATTT